GCTTTACATAAATATTTGTGAATGAATAAAGTACTTATACAAAAAAAATTGAGATTTTAATCATTATTTTATAATACATTTTTATATATTGCTATTACAGTACAAATTTAAAAAAATATTAGGAATAACATCCGACCGAGTAAATATACAACATAAATATGGTAGAGAACGCCAATAATCGGTTAAAGTTAGATGTTTCAAATAATATAATATTCTTGGTTTATGAATTTAATTTATCTTAAATGTGATTGCGCGCCGAAATATCCGGACATTTAAACACAATCAATCTGAGATACTAATTTTTTTAATCATTAAAAAAAAATTGTGATAGTTTTGAGGGAATTATGAGCAATCAAAATATCAAATCAAAATATTCTTTTTATTTCATTCGCAACAACTCAGTAACAAAAAATCGTAGGGACATTATTTAAAAACGATTTTATTTAGGGAAAATCAAGGGGAAAACTAAGGTTTTACATTAGAAATTAAAAAAAATTGCAATTTTTTTTGGACATGTGACATGCCTACAGAATGAAAAAAAAATTTCCCGTTTTGTTTAACACGTAGTTTTCTATATATAAAAATTACAAAACTCACATAAATTCCAAAAATATAGTAACCATTCGAAAGTAGAGATTTCAAGCTTTAAAAGCTTTTTTTTTAATCTAAATTTTGTTTATTTTTAACAAATTTGCAGCTGTTTGAACTTTAAATAATAAATCGGACATGTATTTTTGTACTCCACTCAATAAATATTTCTTTGAATAATACCGAGTAAACATTTACTTACAGTGAATGAATATTTATTTAATAAAAAATAACAGTTAAATCAAATTAATAATTTTTGTATCAACATATGTGTATGTTTACATTTAGTAAATATTTACTTAGGACCATTCAAAGCAAATTTATTAAAATTTAATACTTTTTAAATAGTGCATTTTCTTAAATATTCAATTAGTACCATTCGAACAAATATTCATTAAAATTTAGTAAACTCTTTTTCAGAGTAACATACGTGAAACATTGGAAGAAGCGTATGTCCCACGATTTCCGATGAGAAATTTGAGATATAAGTATTCTAATCGAATATTTATGATCATAATCATCGCCGTTAAAGAAATTTAAATAACCGGCACAGTGCGGGGCCGAAAACTCCGGCCGCGTCGGTCCGGCCGGAATTGAAGCATCTCGCGCGTCAATCATATTTAATTGACGTAATAAGCAATGCGGCGATCAAGCCGTAACGTGACGTGAAACACTATACTACACTACGCTAAGTAATATGACGAAAAATGACCGCGTTGAACAGGCCGAAGCTGCGCTTTCACGTGCAAAGTGTAGGGCCGAGGGTAGGGCGAGGACTTACCGAAATCGATGAACTGTTTTATCGAGAGTGGCGAGGGGTTGAATTGCGAGTAGAAGTCCAACATCTTGGTGATGTTGCCGAGACAGTTTCGTGTGAGCTTCATTCCGCGGCGTGTCGTTAATGTTACACATCAAACCCGGCACGATCGTGCTTGGTCCACCGCCGCGCGTGCTGGTTGA